TCCCGCTACACGTTCTTGTCAGTCAGGCTTCAATTAAGCGGTTTATCTATAGAAGACTGCATTTAGCGTCTGACGGTCGCTCTACCCCTTGAATAAGTTCCCCGTAGGGTCCGAAACAAGTTGGGAAGTCCCGGAATACAAACGTGAATAATTACTTGATTCTTCGTAAATAAATTATTGCCGACTGTATTTCATTACCGACACGACCTTAAAGAAAAGATCGTACTCCTACCTCAAAGGCCGGCAATGCGCTTGTGACTCCTGAGTTGCAGGCGTTCATGGGCGGCGGTTGTCACTTTCCATCACGTGACCCATCTGCTCATTTGCCCCCTCTATCATAAAAAATATAGCAAATATATACAACAATATATAACAAATATATTGGCGAAGAACGTTCAAATTGAAAGATCATTCACAAATATTCTTGTTGCGGTGATTTGTTTAATATTGTAACATGTTTTTTAAAGTTTAAGTCAATGACGGCGTAAATATTCAGGGCAAATGAAGTCAAATAAGTACAACACATATAAACACATTCAGGTTCTCGAAGCCGTAGAAATAGTTAGATATTTTCTAAGTGTATATGGTATCAAGCTAGCAGAGGGGTCACCTGGGGGTCTAGTGCGATACGAGTAGCGATCGTTGACGGGGACTGCCTGCCGCGTTGCGATTGGTGAAGATTTCAATTAGGAATAAATAAAAATGACTTAGTTTTTGGTCTCCCGTAATCTCTCTCAATCATCATCATCATCAACAGCCTTTAACAGTCCACTGCTGGACATAAGAAATACCGAATAAAAAATATTTTATTAAGACAGCATCTCAACGTATAAAAATAATATTATTTCCTACTAGTTCGGTTCTTGTTGACATGATTGATTTAAATTTACAGAAGCAACAACATAATAGAAGAAGAAAACGTAGACTCAACAGTATCTGGTTACAAATTCACGTGGCGGGATACAAGACTGACAGATAATTCGGTTTACAAAAATATTCACTCATGAATAATGTACACATGGCTCGGTTCAATCAGGTCAAAGTGATGTGGGACGTCGTACTCAGACGTCCACGTAATTAGAATAATACGTAAACTGACAAGTTTATTTATTTAAAGGCGTTGCAGATTATTTTTGTGAGGAGCTGGTGTCTGAGTCGGATTTAGCTTAAAAAAACCTGTGTTACAGATCACCAGCAAAAGAGCTAAAGTTATACGCCCCCTTGCAAGTAATGGCGATCATATTGCAGCATTATTAGAGCAGTTTAATTGTCAAAGACTATTTGCCTTTATATCAATACTATATAACCCGGTAAACGTTGTTTTGCCATATACATTATTTCATTTTTTTTTTGTCAAAAAAAAAAAATGTGGTATGAAAAATAGATGTTGGCCGATTCTCAGACCTACCCGATATACACACAAAATTTCACGAAAATCGGTAGAGCCGTTTCGGAGGAGTTCAACTTCTAACACCGTGACACGAGAATTTTATATATAAGATTAGACTCATATGATATGAGATTTAGTGATGTACTTAAGTATTTAATTGAATTAAAAATGATATAGTCATGCATAATCATATCAACACATGGTTTTATTTACCTTGAAGCTTATAAATATTTAGTCCTAGTCTTTCTTAAGGCTATCTGTAGACTGTGTTATTACCATTGTCTATTTATCTATTCTGTATTCTATTCCCGTGCCAGATGAGGATTTATAAGTACCATAACAAATCCATACTGATATTATAAATGCGAAAGTGTGTGTGTTACCTCTTCACGCTTAAACCGCTGAACTGATTTAGATGAAATTGTGGGGAAAACGACTAGACGGGTCATCTGATGGTAAGTGCCTACCGCTGCTACCTGTAACTCAAAATTCACAAATTGGAGTCCAAGCCCCCTGGGAGCCCTAGGGGGGCCCAGAGGGAGTAGGGGTTTGAGCCCCGGTAATCTCATTGAGTCGGTGGTAACCAATGAAAGATATGATATAACACCGGTTTTCGGTGAGGCCGCATTATCATTCCGGTCGGCAGTGCGTACCAGAAACGTAGTACCTTAAAGATGCCGGAGGTCGCGTACCCTATGATCGGAGAGGTCACTAACATATGGTCATAAAGTACTCTTTAAAGTAAGAAATAAGAATCCATGGTAAAAGTTTATTTATTTATTGACATTTACTACAAAAAAACTTATCTATATTAAAGGCACCTAAAATGTACATCCTTATCCTAAGTACAACGTAATGGCAAAAATCAATTCTCCACGTGTCGTTGTGTAACACACAATAACATTATAATGATTACACCAGCGACAACGAATTATAAATAAAATTTAACCTAAGGCAAGACGCAGAAATGTACCGGTTGGTAACTATTTTACACACCGAATTAAATGTACATTATAGGGTTGTCACTATTTTACACACCGAATTAAATGTACATTATAGGGTTGCCACTGAAAAGCTAAACATTACAATTAGGCACGGAGCACACTTTTTGTTTCTCAGTTATTGAGATCTGAATCCTAATTGAACCCTGTTGTGTAGAAATTATTCAATCAACAAACTGGTGTAATAAATAAGGCAAATTACTATCAAAACTTACTTAATTATTTTTAGTGTATTTACTTTAGTAATTATTACGGAATTGTAGCCCTGCTTAGTAAACTGAATAATAAATAAATATGTATCCATGATGCGATTAAATTCATTTACTTAGTTTTGGCCAGTTTGTGTTGTGGTTAGAATCATTTCTACACAACACGTCCAATGATATGTTTTTATTTTCTACAAAGGGATATAAAAATATATGCGGATTTACGTCGTGAATTGACTTCGCACATCATTACATAAGAAACACGTTCACCACCCTGCTATTTAGTTATATCAGATAAGACTTAGAGTTAAGCAGAGACATTGTTCACGTCAAACAATTTGTATCTCGTTTATGACAACCCTATAAATACACAGATACACACTCGTTTACACGTTACGGCAACCTCAAACTTACTTGCGCCTTCGAACATACCAACAAATATACACACCTAAACTCATGATCCAATATAACAAGATTCTCTTTGTTAATAAACAAATATTTACAAGTTCTGGTTAACAAGTACTAAAAGTATCTAAAATTAATTACGGAATACGAAATACAGAAGTAACTAACAATAATAGATAAACAACATAAAGAAAAAACATGAAAGTTATATCTGTAGCAAGAAAATTGTGTTGGTTTTTGTTATCTATTATAACGCTTTAAACACACATACACACTTTTAATACATTGATACAAATATATATTGACTCTATTATTCAGTCTACGATAACTCACACGAATCGCAAGCTGAGAATTAAAATGATCTAACTCAAAACTCCTGGAATTGGAATTCACAAACCGACCATAAAAAGATTACTGCAGAAGCCCACGGCAAGAAAAGTTTTAAACTATGATCAAGATTCATCTTTATTTTCACAATCGAATTTTGAGTTAGGTCCTTTTAATTTTGGAGGTTGGAAGCATGAGTATACATATTTAATAAGCATGAGTATACATATTTATAAAGTATACATATTTAAAAAGAAATGTTTTAGTCAAATTACATTCCATTAAATTATATTTTTTGCAATAGTCACAACATTCAGATTTCAGGTTTAGGATCATTTATTTCTCACAAAGAATAACATTAACTATTCACTTACGAGTACATGAGGAAAACAAGTTACAGTTTCATTGATTTAGCTGTGATACAGAAAAAAAATGATTGAAACAAAATAACAACAAAACAATTTCTTACACAATTATAGTGAGGGTAACTTAAAAACATTATGCATTCCAAACATTTGTTCAACTGCTAACGTAAGCAGTAAATACAGCGGTCGAGCGTGCCGAGAACAGAATATTACAAGTGTTTACTTTGCAAATTTGATGCAAATTAATTTATTAAAGAGAAGAATTGTACATTGTAACGAAATCAACAACTTTATTATTGTAGTCATCTTTGTTGTATTGGGACATGATTAAATTAAAATTAAATTATTTTTTGATTTCACAACAATCTATACAAGATTTAATCTCAACATTCATACACTCAACAACTTTATTCATAACATATTATAATAAAAGAGAAAAATGACCTTAGGCCTTGCGTACTGTAATTCACAACTTAGCAAAAACACCCTAGTATAAAAAAAAAACACTAATTGCAATTATTCGAACACAACATGCAAACGTTTTGAACTAGTTACATGTATGAGCTTCAAAAATTGATAACTTTGACCGAAACGACTTAACAAAAACTCATACGACCCATATAAACACACGTTTTGTAGTTGTAAGTATGAGTTTCTGGAAAACAGTGCTCTTTTCATAGTTACAAATCTTACTAGGGGTAACTGTGTAGTTAGTTATAATAGGGGAAATAAATATTATTATGGAACGGATAACGAACTTCGTCCGCTCCGTTATTGTTTAAACTAGTAACAGAAGTTCGAACATGGTACGGAAGGGACAGCAGAGAATGTTGATATTATTATTCCATAATCCCTCTACGTATCTATGTTGCTACTGCTTTTAATTTGTTTGCCCAAAAAGTATGGGAAACGCTTATTGCTGGAGCGTCAAAGAAAGTTTTCGACAACAGAAATGAAAGTGACTTTCATTTCACTTGATTAAAAGAACTTTGAATGTTTTTGATTCTGTGTATTTTTAAAGGTATTTAGTAAAAATACACATACTGACGCTAGCTAAACACATAAGGAAGTTATCACCAGGTATTGAATGCCTACTGTCCGATTTGTGCCATGTTCGGACGACTGTTGTCCGGTGTAATGTTCCCTTCGCCATGGCTTCTTTATAATAAAATTAATTCAAACATCTCCTAACAAAACATATTCCGGCCATAACGAGTAAACGACAAGAGATATAAACATTAGGAGATATAATTTATTGTACTTGTAGATTGTTTCGAGTGTTGAGTCGGTGGCTCAATAGATGGCGTTACTTGTTGGTAAGCCGGAACACGTCGTTGAGTGGCGCGTAGGGCGTCCGCGTCGGGATCGAGTTGAACAAGTACGAGGGCTGCGTGTCGGCGCGCAGGATCACCACACCTGCACATCATATTTACTGTTAGAGTCACACACTCACTGGAGCCAATTTAAATTTATCAACGTTCATAGTGTTAATGTGGTTCTTGTAATGATGTATAGGTGGCGCTAGTCACCTGACGTCAGAACTTTAATTTGTTATGTTAATATTTTGTTGGTATATATAAATTGGTTTATGAAGAAAAAAAGCTCTGTTTAAGGAAAAAAATTTACTTACCCGATTTTGCAAAATACGGCACTTCTTAGACTTTAGAGTGAGTGTTATTAAGAAAGGTGTTTCGAATCCTAGGAATCTTTTCTATAGGGATATGTACATTTTGCGAGAACATGGCTTTTTTTTTCCGTGCGGAAATCCCCTCGGATACCACCTATCGGTGGCATGTTGGACTCGAACCGACTAAAAACGCACGCCGTCTCGGTACTAATAGCCGGGGAACCAGGTATACCCTAGGAAGGAAGTCCCTGGTGCCCCGACATTGCCAGAACATGCCTAATATTTGATTACATGTATTTTTATTGAGGAATTGAGGGACTAAGTTGTTTAGTACCTAAGTATAAACTTAATAATTACATATCCTATGTGTACTTACCTACAATGTATTTCTGTATACTGTAATTCGTACATTCAAAAGCATAAGTATTGTGACATTTCAATTTTTTTTTTAATATTTTGAAATTTACACAATTTAATGTAATGTAATGTGTTTTTGTACTAAAATGTAGCCTGTTCATCCCTAGGTAAAATGATTTTTCGGAATGTTTAACTAATAAGCAAGCGTCAAGGGTTAAATGCGTGTTGGTAGTCGGTAATGAATTGATGATATTAATAAAAATGTATGGAATGGAAACCATTGTAATTGATGAAGTATTCCATCATTATTGAATACCCTGGTGTGATTAAACCGTTCTTACCTTCACCAAATGTACTATAATAAAAATATCAACTTTAGTAATAAGTTGCCGACTGCTGATGGTGAACAGTCGACGAAATAATTTTAAAAAGGTGAGAACCACAATAAATTTCTGATCGAATCAAAACCTACTTAAGTTTATCATACAGAAGGCTACCCTGCGTCTGCCTATAACGAGGGTCGCTAGAGCTCTATATAAGGATACAGGAGTGTCTTTAATCACAAGTAACTACTTGTATAAGAACAATAACTTGCGGCCTAATTCCTAAAAGTTAGCTTAATCTACGTGTAATTTCTTTGCTTGGTAACTTGTGTATATTATGCTTTAATATAAGTTTCGATGCCTAAGTTGTGGGCTGTTAATTGCACTTCAATATATTTAGTCTAGGTATCAAGATGAAGAACTATTGCGACCAACCATGATCTAGTGAAATATTAATGCCAGAAAAGTCGACTGTCTATTCAAATTACTAAATAATTGGACTAAAATACCCCGACTCTTATCTTTTATGCCTGGCGGTAAGAAATACCTTAGAAAGGTTACCGGGACTAGAAACCACAAATGCCAGTGATATCTTTAGAACTGAAAAAGATAAGACCAAGACTACCATAGTTCTGAACAAAGTGAGAAGTCGTCTCTATAATTTAGAGAAAAAACTTCATCGTTAGAAGCAACAACTTATCTGGTTGGTGACCGAGTCCTTTTAGGAAGATAATACCCGATCATTATATACACGTTAGTAATCGGTTTCCAGGTTTGAATAAAAAAATTGCCCGGTACATCTACATGTACTACTACTATGTAAATCTACAACAAAAAACTGGGAAATTTGTCCATCCATGATGAAGACACAATATGGAAAGTAGTAAGGATATCACGACGATAATATTAAATTTAAAGGACCACAGGTCTTCGAGAGATTTCTACCATTGATCTACAACAGGAAGAGAAAATAAGTGCCTCAAAAAGACAAATAGATTGAAATTACAAATTATTTGGTCAAAACTTTTTCCTGAGCTCCTCCATTTGGTGGTGGGTGCACTGTACATTACCATGTGGCGTGTAAGCGTTAGCGTGACACCAAACCCTTGCGAAGCGAACAAGTGCGACACTTTCTACCTGAGGGGTTCACTTTCACTTTGATCTTCGTCTGCGGCGACAGCACGCCGTAGTCCACGTCCTCGTACAGATCCTGGTGACAACATACACAGTTTCATATTTAAGATTCATGATGTGATTATTGGGGCAAAACTATTAGGTAGAAATATTTCTATATTGTATAATCATCTCGTGGGTGTCGTAAGAGCCGACTAAGAGAAAAAACTGCGCCGAACAACAGCACTGCAGAGAGAAGGAAAATTTGACACAAACCCTATGCCAATCCGTCTGGCCAGCGTGGCATAGTAGGCCAAAACCTCCTTTCTTAGGAGAGGCTTATGTCCAGCAGTGGACTGTTAAAAGCTGTGCGACTGCTTCACTACTATATACTGCGAATTTCACTACTATACTTAGAGAAGGTAAAACAATTTATTAACTAGCTGTGCTGGTCCGCGGCTTCGCCGGTGTTCATAATTCTTTTTCCAAAATAAAAGACCTTTAGTTATTCCCTGCCCTGGTGAGGGGCGCCACAGGGAATGCATTTATATTGTTGCCTTGTGTATTTTCATTAGTTTCTAGTCTCATTATCAATTCGGTATCTCTAACTTCACTACGCATGCTACACTTTACCAATATTTCTAAATTAGGTCGGTTCTTACCTCGACCCTGTACCCAGCAGGGTTGTTGAGTCCCAGTTCGCGTAGGGTGACGGCCACGTCGGAGGGCGTGCCATCGGTCCGGCGGTTGACGAAGGCCACTGCGTAGGAGTAGTAGATACCTTGTATTGGCAGGATCGGCCGAGACCAGATTTCTATTCCGCGGTGCTAGGAAATAGGAAGACATTATAAATATTAGTGTCTAGGTTGGATGATTGTTTTGCGTTGGGTTAGTGTTTCTGACTTTTAAGCCTGTGCTCGAGGGTTTGATTCTCACCTAGGAAAAGTAATTGTGTGATAAGCAAGATCATTTTTCTAAGTCTGGCTGTAATTTATCTAGTATATGAATGTACTTAGAAATATAAAAGTCTGTTATTACATAATAGAGGCTCTATCTAATTAGGATTCAGATGGCCGTGTGTGAAGTGTGTTAACTACAAGCATTCATTAACACTGATGTAGGCTTAGAAACAGAAATCCTGCGTGAGTGACTGTGTGAAAAATCTAAATTACATTTTGACAAAGACTTATCTTGCAAATATCCATTTGAAATATGTACATATAATTAAAAAAAAAGTCGATGAAATAGAACTTTCCGATCGTGAGTATAACTATTTATAAATAAAATACTCACTTTGTATATTCTTCTGCCCTGGATGCCGAGGGGGTCCTGGTCAACGTCAATAATCTTCCTGTTCTGTAGGATGGCCTTGTACTCGGGCCGGATGGTCCTGAGGTCCACGCTCATGAGTAGAGGCGCTGCAAGTATGGCCCAGATCGCGAATTGCGTCTTACTCTGTTCGTATGATAGGCCAAAGTTTCCGATGATCAACTGGAATTATGTGTAAAGTATTGATTAGTATATTTGTCAAGAATCGTTTAAATAATCGAATGACAGACATAGTTACTTTTATGAAGATATGTTTTTATTACATAATAACATGCATTTGACCAAAAACTCAAAGAATTGTTAAAAAATCAGCTTGATTGCTATTCTATTCTTCTGTGTTCGTTACAGAACTATTACTCTAAGTTTCATTACCATGTCGGGATCATTCCAGTGTCCAGGTCCAGCATTTGGCACGATGATATCCTGGTGGTTTCCGTAGTAGTCTATTATAGATTCGACGGAAGCCCATGAGTCTTGAATGTCATCGAAGTTGCGCCACAAGTTGCAATGTTCGATGATGGATGAAAAGTTGGGCTGGAAATGGGAAATTACAGTATTGACGAGAAGCCTAAATACAGCTATCGACTTAGAATAGATCGGGCGGACAATTGCTATCTGCTGGTATATTTACTTGGCACCATCGATTTCAGACCTACTTAGAAGATGTCCCACAGGGTCCTATTACTATAAAGAAGTTGGGCTAGTCAATTTTCAGATACGACGAAGTTCGGAATATTATGGCATATTGTCTGGTCATCTTAAAGAGTCTTAATCCATTGTTTTTCTTTTATATCTTAACAAAGTACAGCAAGAAAACGATTTGACTATAATTAAGTATGACGTCATGAATGGTTATCATAAAAAGTCTACATATCGTATCAATTTTACGTTTTATACTGAAAACTGAAATCATTAGTAAAGTAAATGATGGTTAGAACGCTAATGTCCGAGCAAGCGAATGCAATCATTACGGTAGATGTTTGTAAGTAATTGATGATTATTAATATACATACATAAATATTTGCTTATCAAATAAATTTAAAGATTAAAGCATCAAACAGAAAACGTACAAAAGACAATTATGGACAATTATTATTTGCGTGATAGACACAAGATTTTGTAAAATGGATTTAAAATAATTCATGCCTGCTGAGAATAGTCAAAGAATTATCAAGAGCTGACCAAGACCAAACACGTGTATTGTACACGTGTTTGGTGATATGACTGAGTGACAAAACTTCTTAATGCAAATTGAAACGTTGCAAACATAATATCAGGCGCTTTTGGGTGCCTCATTGTTTATTACAATTTTAAACAACAATTTTAAATTAACATAACAAAAGATGTATTTACCAAAAATCGTCTCGTAACGAATGCATATTCAGTAACCAGAGTTAGATTTGGTTTTTCTCGTAAAAAAATGATTTCTTTATAAAAGAATGACTTTTATACAGCATATTTAAATGATCCACAAAAATCGTGTCCTGAAATTTTTCAATTTCTGTCGCTGCGATAGGCTGCGCTGGAGAGATTAGCCCTTGTATTGCAGTGCCTTGTCTTTGGATCTATCTATCTAAAGTTCTATTCATACCACTATATCTCTGAAGTTTATCTTATCTTAACTCTCTACTATATTTTTGTTTGTGATAGATAGAAAAATTAATGCACTTCTTTAGTACTATAATTTAGATATAATCCAAAAAAATTGAAGAATACCTGAATACCAGCATATATCTGGTAAACGGGCCAACTGCACGAGTAGACCATTTGTCTTCCAGTCTTGTTCAGCTGATTGCCGAATTCAGGGTAACCATAGTCCATGTCGGCAGGTAGGGCGTAACATCCGTCTAGTTTCACGTAGTCCACACCCCAGGCAGCGAACGTGTTAGCATCTGGAGATGAAGAAACATTTGTATATACGCACACAAACACATTAATTTGAACGAGTTTTGTTCACTTTCGATAGATGGCGCTAGTAGTAAAACATCAAAGGGATAATAATAATAATATAATTTATTAAAGAAATGGAAACCAAGAGGGTTTTCAGTTTTATTCAAACAACTGCAGCTTACTATGATTAAGCGTACACAGTGCTGTTCCACCAAGATGCGAAACAAAACATTATAGTTCCATAAATACTCAACTTAAAAAGGCACACAACATTCCACATACAGTTAAAAGTTTTTTAAATCGTAGGCAAACATTTGTGGGCGAAATAATATTCAACAATAAAATAGGCAACTTGTTGATATTTGGCAACTGACTCAAGGATACTACTTACTCTTCTTGCAAAATTAAATGTTTTCGCTACAATTTAGCATAAATGCATACGAATTTTGGATAAACAGAGAATTAGGCAATTGTTTGAAATTTGAACATTTCTGTAGTTCGTCGCAACACTGAGTCGACGACCGGATGGCATAGTGGTTTGTGTAACGGACTGCTATCCCAAAGGTCGAGGGTTCGATTCCCGCTCAAGTCAAACATTTGTATGCATGAACATTTAATGTTTGATTTGGTCTGGGTGTTTCTATGTATAATGTGTATGTATTTACAAAAAAAAAGTATATATGTATGTATATCAGTTGCCTAGTACCCAATGTACAAACTCTGCTTAGTTTGGAACTAGATGGCGTTGTGTGAATGTAGTTAAATATATTTTTATTATTAAGTACTTATCAGAGTCGCTTATCGAATAAGTACCTACTATATTTTAATTTTAAAATGTTCTAGTGAATCTTATTGACCTATCCTGCCTATACTCGTACATGTTAACTTTATGGTAAATAATAAGAGTGAGCTTACAATCGGTAATTACTAGACAGTGCCGTGGTGTTTGGTTTGCCCCTGTATAACGACTAAAGACGATTTATATTTGACTAAATTTCAATATTAAAACGACCAAAGCATTTTGAAGGTATTTTGAAGTTAAAAACTCAATTGAATAACGAACGAACACTATTCTCCTATTTTGCATTTAAAAACACTAAACGTTAGTTTTCATTTATATAAATATAAATGATTGGTAAACTCGACAACTTCTAGACCGTTTTCAATATATTTTTGTTTTATATATTAAACAGGACAAAACTTGTCGGGCCAACTAGAGTCGAAAGACGTCCACGGCTGGACATAGGCCTCCTCCAAGTTTCGTCACAACGACCGGTCCTGCGCTGCCCGCATCCAACGGTTTCCGCGACCTTCACCAGGTCGTAGGACCACCTTGTGGGGGGCCTACCCACGCTCTCTCTCGCTCGCCTGTTCATCACTATTTCAGAACAGAATCTATCTTGAAAGGTATTCATGGACCGGTCGCTACACGCATTCACAAAGCTCACCTGTCGGGCCAAAACTAGTCGGGCAAACGCAGAAGACAATAAAACCGTATTTCTTTCAAGGAATATTGCATAACAGAACAGTTGTGAACACACACGATGTTAATACCTACATCTCATAACACCAATTACGGATGAATGGCGGCCATATTTGAAATGCGACTGACAATATTGCATTAATGTAATGGATTTGTTCACGCGTATCATGTCGCGTGTTCATCACGATTCTTTAATGTGAGTTTAATCGTATCTCTGTGAGTCTCAGTTTATTGACCGTTACTTAGATTTCAGTGTTGCCAGCTGTATATTTGATCTCACTTTGAGGAAAATAAAATTAATGACAGTGGTGAAAACTGTTAACTATAATTAATTATTAAAAAGCATCACCAAGTTACCTACATCATAATGATTTTACCCCCCTTTGGTGCTTTTTTTTCAAATTTGAACGAACAAGTAAACCCTCAAAAAAAAAAAGAATTTTCTAAATGATAGAGTTCTGAGGTAAGAAAAATAAAAATAAACAATGGAATTGAGAACATCTTCCATGTTTTTGTATTCGTATTTACTTTTCGTACTATAACAGATATTGACCTGTCATTCTACTAAAAGTCAATAGGTGGCTTTTGTAGGCATTTTGCATAACTAATATAAATAACAGATACTGCTTAAAAGTGTTTTGCTTCGTCTACATATCAACTTTCAGTATACCTAATTAAAAATTTGCTTAAAAAGGTGTACAAAGAAGCCTCCAGCTCATAGGCGGCGGTAGTCACTTATCGTCCGGTCACCCGTCTGTTCTTTTGCCTCCTATACTTACTATCCGTTCCTAAATCAGGTTATTAAGACATAATAAGTATTCGTATATACACGCACTACCTCTCCAATAACAACGATTAGGTACAACATGAACGCTAGTACAACATCGAAGGAAGTGAGATGTGTAATCGTTGACGCACCACACAGGAATCATTGCGTGAGACATTACTGGAATTTTGATAATGCACACCTGTGACAAATAAGTCTCGATAAGCATAGAAAACTAATTGCAAAACCTTTCTTTGTTGCGTAAGAATTAAATGTTAATTTATTAACACTTTATACACAGGATGTATCACAGTGAACATAATGCTATCGCGATTTTGGGTAAATAAAAATAAAGTGAAATACATGGATGTGGACATATGAACATATGGAGATAATTTAAGTGTAAAAATGATTGGAAGACTATTAACGGTTAAAGTAAATACATCTTAGTAGAAAATTATTGATATCCTATTCATTCGGTACACAGTTCAGCACAAACCCCAGTTACAAAATAAACTTAGGACATGATAAATTCTGACTCAAAAAGGATGCACTCTAGCGATGAAAACTAATAAACAATTTATAAGTAATTTAAATTTTTAGATAAGATGTTAAGCATACCTGAAATTTCTGACAATAAGAACACAAATATTAATTTTATTATCTCTAATGTACATCAGGATTTTTTTTCAAACAACGATTTGTACTAAATCTCATCGTTAATTTTGTATGTTTATAACAGCTGGTACTGTACAAAATATCTTTGAGCATCTCTTAACACACCAAAGATTATTATTTTACATCAATTACAGCAAATCATAATAGGAAAAGTCCCGACGTTCTCTACAATATAATGGTAACCGTAGCAAAAAAAACCGGTGCACAGTACGGGTCAGGAAGTCACATGAGTCGTCGCAAGCTCACACTTAGCTTACGCAAGTTTTATAGCTCAATGTGGCTATATAGCTTAACAATATGACTGGAAATACTGTCCTTCTTGAATTAAGTAAATAAAAAAGTAGTTTTACCACCAGGTCCACCTGGTGATAGAATTAGATAGATTTTTTTTAAGCTCAGTAGCAACCGAAATTACTAGTATGCCCGTTAACCCCTCCAGCTCAGCTAAATTGCTTGTATTAGGAGTGGGTTCAGGATTTGAACCGACGACCTCTAGATCGCAAGGCCGGCGGTCCGACCGGAGATGAATTGCATCTTAGTTTATTTTACCTTCAATACATACTACATCTAGTTTTGGTTATCCGGGTAAAATGGCGGGTAAAGTGTGGTATTCTAAATAATTATAATAAAAAATACTAAGTATGTTGTAAACTTGCCTATTGTTCAAAACTACTCTGTGTAGTGGTTAATCCAGCCCTGAATATATAATGCTGTAATATACAAATAGTTCTGGAACACTCTAGGTATAAAGAATATTGCGTAAGGGTTCGTTCATTAATTACGTAAGCGTCCCCAGGGGGAGGGGGGTTAAAAAAAATCTATACAGGGGTAAACCATTTTTATGTAATATTTTGCAAGTTGAAATTTTTTATTAAATATCTATTTCTGTTTCGAATCCTGAATGATTTTCTTTATTCCATAATGTGCCTTTTGATTGACATCTTATGTTTTTTTTTCTTTATTAAAATTATTAAAATGATAAATATGTTTATTTTATCCATTTGAAATGTCATAAATAATAATTATATTATAGTAAATTCTTAACGCGTATTATCTTTTACTGTGAAATTTATTTTCTTTAAAAGAGTAATTTAAAACTAGTCGATCATTATTTTAAAAGTGTTATTGGTTTAAAGATTCTTTAACTGACTTATGTTTGTTCACTATAAGAAAACTTGTTTTTAGTTATGAAAATATAATTCCAAAGACTAGACAGTAATCTATGCAATATAAAAATAATCTATATCTGATAGCAATGAGAAAGTATAACCTAAATTATCTGCTAAAAAATAAAAATCTTTGATTTAAGTGTGTTGAGTTTTAGTGTAACTGATCCTTTTGAAACAACGTTTTATTATTCAAAAAAACGAGATTCAATAAGAAAAGGGAGGGGTTCGAGAAATCTTATGTATCCCTACATGGAGGAAGTGGGGGGGGGGGGGGGGGTTAATGTTCAATTTACGACCTCTTCGAGTTTATTACTCACGCCCCTCGTCATATACGTCTATTCGTATCAGTAATATTCCACCCTATTCATAGTCAAACCTGCTTTACTAATTTTCCCTTTCAATAAAGATACTTCCAATTTATATTTATAATCCCATCTTCCAAATGCCAGGCTAAGGACTTTTACCACCTATATACCTATCAAAATGTGGGTGTCTTTCACACCTCTATCTCCCGGGCTCGCATGGTTAGGAAATATTTGTTTCATATGAGACAAAATTATACCTATCAAAATGTGGGTGTCTTCCACACCTCTATCTCTAAAAAAAATTGTTTAAGTTAAATTTTTTATTTACCTATTTCTTTAACATACAAAAAATTCGCACAAAAATTATTTTACTTCTCCCTGGGCCTTAAAATAATCCCACTAAGTATGTATTTCATACAGTTATTTACTACATATCCAATGAATTTATATTGCTACTAAAATTCAATTATTATAGCTGCATCGAATCGTCAAACTCGATAAGTATGTAGGTTACGTATGGATCACATCTTTGAAATCATTGTGTTGTAACATAATAGTAAACGGTTTATAAGGTTTTTATTACATTTATGTCTTCGCATTTTAATATCTTATGTACTTATTACACCATAAATCCTTGAATAAATGGCACACATTGTTTTAAAACTAAAGTAAGGAGTTTGAAGTTATTTTGGTTTCTTTTCATAATTGTATTTCAATTCATGGGAAAGATATATTTTTTTTACACATCTCACACACGGCCGTCTGATCCCAAAGTAGGCAAAGCCAGTACTATACTAACCAGACTGCCGATAAACTTACTTATATATTTTTAAATACATACATATTATAGATATTATAAATAAATTACGCCCAGACACAGAACAAATGACCGTGCTCATCACACAATATTTGTCCTAGGTGGGAATCGAACCTACGACCTCCGGCTTTAGCAGGCAGGGCCACTGACCAACAGGCCCGTAAATGGATGAAACGCTGCTTAATCGATAATGAAAAAGTTTCAGTTTACTTTCTCCACTATGTAATAATATAATTGTTGTATGTTTATGTACGTCATTTTAATTATTGCAAGTTGAATAATACTGGTTGTTTCTCAGGAAACTGTTCGCAGAATTAATGCTAATTTTTTTTTTTTTTTTTTTCACACAACGCCATCTAGTCCCAAACTAAGCAGAGCTTGTACTATGGGTACTAGACAACTGATATTATTATACATAGAAACACAAAGACCAAATCAAACATTAAATGTGCATACACACAAATGTTTGACTTGAGCGGGAATCGAACCCGCGACCTTTGGAATAGCAGTCCGTTACACAAACCACTACGCCATTCGGTCGTCTTATTAAATAATTTACTTATTAAATAATTCACCCTTATTAACAGTAATATTTCTAAGGTGTTGATTAAAATGAAATAATTAAACGATTTTAATGTTTGGAATGTCTTTTGTGAGTCTTCCTTACCTCCACTTAAGTGTCCGACTACACCGGGGTACCCAGCGCACGTGAAGTTCCCGTAGTCTTCGTAGATGCCGAATTTTAAACCTTTGCTATGTACCTGGAGACAAGAAATTAATTATCATTTATTTAAAGTAACGAAAAATTAGACAGTGCATAGTTTAAATTAAGACTCTAACGCTATGATCATCAGAATAGTTAGTAAACAATTTTAAATTTTAACTGTTATATTTTTTTGGTTTTGGTCCCCTGCTCTCAGCAGAATTTATTTGATCAAACGTAGGGTTATTAACAAGATGCCGTAATGCTCATAATTATTGAATACTACCGTAATGATTGAGGCTCCATATAACTATGCACGAGAGGATCAATGCTAGGTTTAATGTAGACACACACCTAGATTAACTCTAAATTGGTTAACGAAGGTGGACAAAAATCTCGTATTAAAAAAAAGAGCTCGTGAACAACTCATGGTGGACTGCATGCCTCAATTAGAACCAGAAATAATTGAAAACAAAAGAAATGCACAGAAGCAAATCACGTCTGAGTATAACTGGAGAGGGGAGAAAGTTAGTGATTACTAATACTTGAATAATCTGTACATCAATACCTTTTATTTAAAAAAGATAAATCGTTTGGGTAGAAAGGCCGGACCGATTGAGAATTAATTGAATTTTTTGACACTATACGTTATTAAATGAATTTTATAAATAATAATCATAAACATGAAATGGTTGAGCGAAAACTGAACAAAAAATGCACTAGAATTTCCTGTCTAGGGTACACCTGGTTCTCCGGCTACTGGAACCCGAGACGGTGGAAAAAAAGTATATTAATGCAAATGCAATGTTAAACAAATGTTTTTTTTTCTTTTTATTCTTTTATTTATAGAATAGGGGTCAAAGGAGCAGACAAGCCGCCTGGTGGTAAGTGAGTACCGCCGCCTATGACACCTGCAGCCTGTATTTCATGAGTCACAAGTATATTGCAATCCTTTAACCCGCGGCAAAATTATCACATCCTTAATTTAATTTGAGCTTAATAATGCATAATATCATCATAGTTTGGATAATTATAAACTAACTAACTAGTCACTTGGGTTAAAAAACCCATTTTATGTACGACATAGATCATCTAAGTGGACTATTTTGTGATGTGTCATTTACCCTAAAAGAACAAAAAGACAGTCAGGTTCGGTGGACTCTAAATTTTATTCTTTTCATTGAATTAAATAGCTATATTTATCACCAAATCACATTATAAGCAAAGCCATTAAAAGAAAAAATAATACAAATAAAACTGTCCTTTCCTCTTTTATTGTTCGTCAACACCTGAATGCTCGACTCACGACGCAGAACAATCTAAAATGAATGACAGCAAAAAGTTCGCATCGAATCACCTCAAGTTTTTGCTATCAAAAAAAAAAACTAAACGATGGCTAGAGACAAAAAGTTAAGGTTGCCAGTCGTGAAATTTTACAGATTCCAATAATTTATTACAGGTGTATTAGTTACAAATGGCATCTTTGTAGTAGCAAATTATTGAGCAGAATGAAATTATTCTTGATTTTTAAAAGTGTACATTTATAAATATATTCTCTGATACTATCACTATATTCGCTTTATAAAAACTAAATAATAGATATGACCTATTTGACATTGGTGATATTTAGATGACATTTCATGTGTTGTTTGTCATCAGTTGATTTTATTTTAATAGACGTTAAGAACACAATAATTTGACATTATTACAAAGCATAAGGATTTTGACAATGCTGACGGGTAAAATTAAGGTGTATTTGTATAAAAATTATGACAAATGTAAACACAACTTCTGCACATTTTTTAATTATTGCACAATTTGTGATCGATTTACGAGTATAAGTAGAACGTAAACAGTTTTATTTTTAATGAACCTTAAAAAATCTGAACTTACTTTCTAAATCTAAAAATGTAAACTGAATTAACAATATTAAAGAAAAGAAACTGTCACATGGACATTGGTGAACATGTCAGACTTTTATCTCGACGCACATTTCTAGAAAGGTACAACTCTCTCTCAAAATCTCTCTTTTTCCAGGCTACGATACCGTTTTAATAATTTTTTTATATTTTACTTTTGCAGTACCTACTTATATTTATACACCCGAACTTCCTAATTTCTAAGTTCTAAGTTCCTAACTTCTTTCTAATTTAATTTCTAATATTATTTATGCAATTGAGTGTGATTTGTTTGTTACCCTCTTATGCCTTAACCGCATGCTCCGAGACACAAGATAAGATATCTATCCAGAAAAGTAATTGCTAAAAGATCAACAAAATATACAGTCGCACCTTCGAAACCGTAATCAAAAATGGTTTTAATACAAATTGTTAAAATCTATAACGAGATTATAAAACAATGCGGGTTTAAAGTTACGAAACAAGTGTTACAAAAACTTAGATGATTATCACAATACATCGCTGAACATATAATGAACAAGTCATTCACTTCCACGGCAAGGTTAAGACAATAATCATAAATTTGGATTCGTTGTATAGTTATATTTATTCACTGCTGGAGATTGATAGGTTTTATACCATAGTTGCAACAGTTCAAGGGTAAAATAAAAGTTTATAATACTTTATTATGTTAGGATTGTATCACACAACGCTTTTTGTACAGAAGGAACTTTTAGCGACAGAATCGCTGCAAAAGAACGCTTTTGATTTTTTTCAGTTTAGTATAAAGAGAAAATTTTTGTAAATTGGAGTTCTATCAATACATACAGTAGTTTTTCTCTATACTCGCAAAGTTATAGATTGCCGGTACACGAATTAACACTATAATTCATTTAAAATTTGTTTTATACAAATGTTTGCAAGTTTAAAGAGTTTTCGTATGATGACGGGTCAAAATATGTATTGGACAGGTTTTTGTCCAGTGTTTTTATAACTATATATTTAATAAAAAACTTAGTCACCTGCACTTCTCATTGTTCCTAGTACCTATCTTTCTTCTTAGTACGTACCTTTAGTATTTAAAATCTGACATTCCTCCGTAAGAGAAATTTGTTAAAAAAAAAAACTACAAAAAAAGTGCGGTAAATTCAGAGGTTGCCCAAAGATCAAAATTTGGCTGCAAATAATTGAATTATTGAAAAGTTGATTGTGATAGAACTCAATGTAAACAAGGAAATTATCTGTTTATGGAGATGAAAAACTGTGTTGGATGTATGTGTTAAATTTTATATGATTTCTTTCCAGGACGAAACCATTTTTCTGCTATTTCTGTGTTTTGTATGTTTTTTTTTAAATGACACCATTTAAAAAATGACAATGTAATATAATCATTTTGAGACAATGGAAGAAGTTAAATTCTGATAAGGAATAGGAATAAGGAATTCTGAAAGAATATGGCGCTGGAGAGAGAATATACCGCAAATTTCAGATGGGGAAACGGGACTGTATCTTCGACAGCTTCAAAATTTCGGTATCATCTGTGTGTCCTTCCTGTGATTGAAGTCGGCACTAGGATGGGAACATCAACTAAAATGTGACGAACTGTTTCTTAAATGTGATAACGAGGCTTTTAACTGCGTAATTTAATCATCAATTTTCGAAATTCGAAAACAGAAGACGCTGTCAACCGTTTCAGTATTATAAAAGAAACATTCATGCATAAAGACAGGATACAAAGTAGATCTGATCTATCGGACGGTAAATAAGACAAATAGTAACTCTGAATGCGATTCAGGGGTCAGGAACAATCACCAATATGTTTACTATTATAATAGTTAATGTTGCGCTTGTCATTGAGTAAAAACAAAACAAAAACATATTTTATGAGCAAGAACTTGACACCGGCGTGACTTGGCATTGGTGGGATGTATTACATATCGTTAAATATGGAGAACTGTTGCAGTTATATCATTTAAACAATTGTATGTAGTAAACGATACAAGAATAAATTGTATAAACATTATGTTCTGATGTTTAAAATAAATGCCAAATATAATGTGTAAATTAGCATTTATGAAAGTAGTTACATATTTTACAAAACCATAGATCTGTTCTACATTTGAGTTATTATATGTTTTTAAACCTTTAAAACTAATCCCGGTAAAAGATTTTTTTAAATATAGATAGTACATAATCAATGTTTGTAGACCACAGAGACAACTAAAAGCATTTTATGAATTATGCCTGAGTCCTAGAAATTTGTTTAGATCATTATTTTAAATAGTGTCCGTTTAAAATTAATAAGTATTGCTACAAACGCACGCAACCTTTTATAAAACATAATACTTTAACGACCTACAAGTTTAAGAAAGTTTAATGTTAGATAAGAAATACATAAAAACATATAAACACATCGATAAAGGTAATAACTTATTTCTTCTATAATTGTGTTTAATAAACATATTCTAAAGGTATACAATGCACTTTAAAACGTAGGGTTTACATTGTTCTGATAATTATCTCCAGATGATGTGTCATTATACACCATCTGGGGGTGATTATTGCTTGCTTAAACCAACACTTTAGCTGTCCATCACTCATTATTGATTACGATTACTACTAAACCGATTATAATAATACCTAGTCTTGCAAATAGATACAAAATTTGCTCTGTTCAAATTATGTTTTGTAACTTCTACTGAAAGAGAAAACTAGAATTGTATGCGATAAACATAATTAAATTATATGTTTAAGCATGTCATTTAGTTTTATACTTTGGTGGTTGGGAATAAGTTTCCTTTTAGAAAAAAGAACTGTTCGATATATCAGCAATTTTTTCGATATGCATGCTGTTTATTTCTTACAGTGAGTAAAGAAAGAACGTTAAACGCTTTAATCAATTGAAACGCTGGCCAACAAAAAAGTGCTTATCTTTTTACATATCAAACAGAACGAATGCGTGCAATACTTTATAACTAGTTTTATAACTATTCTGTAGTTTATCTAACTCTACTTGAAATAAGTTACGACTTCACCTAAGTATTTTCCAAAGGAATAAATCTAGTAAATTTTGATCTAGTACGAAATATTTTCAAAATTACACTTTTTAAGTTGGGTGACTACTCTTAAACTAACAAAACCAAATTACTTTTTCTTTTGA